ATTTCCTTTAAAAAAAAAGTTTTTTTTAAACCCCAATTTTAACCCTTTTTTTTTTTTTTTTTTTTTTTTTTTGTTCCACTGGAGTATAAATCTGACACGGCACAGCAGCCTGTTTGTTTAAGCCATTGGTCATTGGACTGGGCAAGGATCCCTATTTATCTAGTCAACCCGTGCAACAAAGTAGGACGGTGATGGCAGGAAAGAAGGACAAAAACCATGAGAACAGCTGCCAAGTTTGACATCTGGGGGAAAAACCAAGTCTAAACAACAAACATTTGACACTAACGAGATGCCAACTGGTTGTTTGGGAGTGATGGCAGAACAAAGCTTTTCCTCCATCATTACAAACTTAAACATGTGGAGTTTGCTGAATCTTACTGGGACTTTCACTGGAAGTGTGGGGCTTTGGTTGAATGAGACTAAGATTAAGACAAAGATTGTTAGATTTGAATCTCTTGTAAGGTTTGGTTAGTTATATACAGAAGAGCCTCATGCCCTGTAAAGTAGTGTTGCCGAACTGTAACGCTGTCGGTCTCCTTCAAATGCCAAAACCTTATTGGAGTGCGTGACGTCAGGGGAGTCTTCGAAACATCAGGAGAGTTGAAATGAAAATGTGTAGTGGTTTGTGGCAAAAGTAAAACAGAAAATGGCATAAGGTGATAATGGTACATGTAACCAAATCAACAAAGAAATAATTAATCTGACACAAAATCAACCTTTTCAATGGCCGCTACATTCCCCAGAGCTAAATCCCATAGAACAGAGAGGAGCCAGTTCTCAGGATGATCGATGGAGGTTCTTCAAAGAGGAATGTTTAAGAATCGCTCTCCCTCTTCAGAAGATATCCTGCTGGCAAAATGATTGACAATAAGGTTGCCAATAATTGTATCACTGATTTTGTTAAAAATGCTTCTGCAATAAATTGTGACTTTTTTCTAATGCTTTTTTTTTTCATTGCACATCTTTATGACAATAAACGTGGACCTGCGTCTAAAAATTCAGTTGCTTTTTGATTTAAGAAAGGCACCCACTCCGTCTGCTCCGTGTCAGCTCGCCCTGCCTGCCAGTCTCAGAAAGCAACCGCAGTCGCCCCACCTGCCAATCGCCTGCCAATCATCCAGCGTCGCCTCCC